GTCCTTGTCTCCATTGTGACAGTGCTTAAGGACAACTGCACTGACACCAAATAAAGATCCGTAAAATTCATTGTCCTGACCTAGACAGCAGCCAGCAGAGAATGGCTGGTTGAAGTATATAATTGAATAAACATACTTTCTTTACCATACAGTTCTAGCTTCTAGACTCCATATACAGTGGACCTTCTGAGTCAAAGATCTTTGAATTCAAGTAGCTCTTCGGGATCTTTCCCTCCAGGAATTTGTACAGCCCCCAAGTCTGTTTTTATTCTGGTATGCATAATACTCTTCTGCATCTCACCCACAGAACTCTAAGCCATTTAAGTATACTGGGGTTCTGTAAGCATATATTGTATGATTTTAAGACAAACAAAACAAACCAAAAATGTACACAGACAGAAAACCTCAAAATAATTCTAGGAGTAAAAGTCTATAAAGATTTACAGGCTTTTTTTTGAAAACATATAAAAAGTACAGTGGTCAAACTTACACTTTTCATTTTATTTAAAAAACAACGTTTCTATGACATATTCATACCTTTTAAACATAATACCTACAATAAGTGTAATGAAATTCAAGGAATTCCTATTTTATCATCCAAACATAAAGGCATAACTAACACACTTCTAAGAGCGACAGCACCACATTAGGGCTGTCATCACTGCAGTCATACCAAAGGAATGACGAGCATGGACCAGGTGTAAATCACAAAGTGGGAATCCTTATAGATATCCTTGAGATATCTCCTATTTCCAGACATTATACATAAAGGGAAGCAGAGAAAAATCCTTAGGTTTACGGAATGGCTTCCTTGTACATTTGGCAGGGTTACCATTGCTCGGTTCCTCTGACACAGTAATTCTGCCTGTAAAACTCTCTACAGCAAGGACACCTCCTAGCTTCTATTTGCTAGTTTTGCAGAACTGACGTACTCCACTTGCTTTCCAAGTCTACACGACCACAAGAGCTCTCTTCCCTCAAAACTTCAGCATTACAGGAAAATTGCATGTGTACCCACTTTAAGGAATGCTAGAGTGGAAGCATTCACAGAGTCCTAAGGGCTCCAAACGTGAACTGCTTTAAACAGACTAAATAAATAATCAGATCTGTGCATGTAGTTTTAAAACAGTTCTTTTATTGTTTTTCCATACTTAATTTTCTTCCTTCCTTCAAACATTTCTGGGTCTTAGGTAAGAGTACACTAAGGAATTCAGGATATCTTATCCATGCATTTTGCATGATGGAATTTCCCGCTCTCCTGTGCCACCAGCTTACCACTTCTTTACCTTTTTCTGCCATTACAAAATGATTTGCTACAAATCCTGCCTGCTCTTTTTCCTCTCTCGCGGAGCAACTCTCAGTTGTATTTGATGGCAAAGGAGAAACATTATCTTTCAGAACACCTGGCCAAGTTGCCAGCTGACTCTCTGGTCAGCTTCCACCTACAGTTAGTTATTCAGAGACCCACTGTCCAGCTACATGCCACAAATCACCTGAGTTCCTACTGGAAGCTGTCATCCCCTGGTACCAACACCTGAACACACGCTGAAGTTTCATTGTTATTACTGTGATAATGCAAGGATTTCTTTTGCAAATTTTTTCTAATTCTACAGGCAAAATTCAGAAAGAACAGACAAGTGACCATTACATTCAAAACACCTTGAGCATAAATTCAAAACAATCCGCAGAACTCCCTTTGATAGAAGGAACGATGCTGTAACTACTACTGCCAAACATCATCACAATGTTAGGTGTGATTTCCAAAGATTCTCAAACTGTCCTGTAAGCTACTCCCACGTGTACAAAGGAGGAACTGAAAGAAATCAGGCTGATCATCAACTGAGATCAGCACACAGCTCCTATCACTAGAAAGGATACAAGGGAAGAACAACACCTAGAGAAGTCTGTCTGTCTCAGTACAGTAAACCTGACCCTTAAAATACCTTAACTCAGCATCGTCAATAGGACACAGTTTCTGTTGAAAGGAGATGTGAAACCATACAATTACTGAAATCTGTTTACAAAGATGCACAGGCAGACCAGGAAATCTCTCGGGGCCCAAGTATGACTGAATTACTTTCTTAGAGCATGAAAGGCTATTCCAAACTTTGTCATACAAGGAAACATGTCACACCATCTGCAATGTATGCCCCTCATTTCAAACCTGGTGGAAAATCCAGAGGTCTAAAATTCCCTAAGTTCCCTTATTGAAAAGATACCATACGTACAGTATATATAAATAAAAATAACATACATCTATATATGCATATTTATGTATGTATATATGTGTATACACACACAGATAAACAAAACTACAGAACTATACCAGTGCCTCCTTTTATGAAAAGGTTGATGCTGATCTACTGGCAATTATCAGAGAACTCAGCAGAAAAAAAAAAACACAAACAGCACAAAAATAGGGGAATATCCAATTTATATCTTATTAGGCCTCAAGGAATCTGATCGGGAGAGAGAAATTCACTGAAAAACTGACTGTATCTGCTCCATCAACCATGGAACAACTTGTATGCACTCCAGAAAAAATTTTAAGAGACACAAGCTCTCGTTAATATTAGGGACTATTTTCCCACTGGAGCTGTGCTACTTCACATTCTTTCTCATTTGAAAAGAATTTATATATTTTAAGCTGTTTACCACGGCAGCTGAACAGAACAGAGAGAAGCAACAAATGTAATGAATCAGCCCTCTACAGCTTCAGGGAATTACTAGGAACATACCTATCTTTAGATGTAAACAAAAAGAATAGGCACTTCTAAAAAAATTTAAACTTTAATATAAAATTACAAAGGAAAAAGAAAAAAAAAACTGAGCGAGTGAACTGAACAATATCCATTTCAGAGTCTCATTAAATAAGCCCCTATTTCTTCCATCTAGCCCATTGTTTTACGCCTTGCGGTTTGGATTCCTGGGGGCAGTTTGTATGAAGTGGTATCTCAGACATTCCTCAGCACCATGTTCTAAGAAATCATTCTTGCTCAAGCGCTCTCTTCTTTACATTTCTAGCACTGCTCAGGAAGCACTAAGAAACAAGCACAGACTTGTTATTCACTGAAAGCTACTGAACTCTCCCAGCTGACCCAGCACCTTTTACAGCTCGCATGGGGGCCTCAGAATCCAGGTTCTCATCTAAAAAAGCCCTCATTTAACATCTTTAGAAGAGACACATTTCAGTTTTCTTTGCCACTACTACTCCACACAGACTGTTCTCCCCACAAAACAGTTTTATTGTACTTACCTACCTAGCTCAAATTAATCTAGAGCTCAAGAGGAAGAGGTAAATGAAAATTCATGCTGCTAGGAAGAACCACAGCCAGTTTCCCAAGTTTCACATTCTCTGAGGTCATCTCCTTACATCTTCTCCTCCACTTATCAGCAAAACTTACATAGTGCTAGCAGAGCATATACAAAAATCCAGATTTCCAGTTCTGCAGCAACATTTAGAGACTCCATGTCAGAGCCCTCATAGAACACAGAATAAATCAAAGAGGCAACTCAAACTTCCACCCAAGGCACTACTATATTTCTCTGTTTTCCCCTCAGCGAATAAACCTTCAGACCTAAAAAAAGAGAAAGACTGACAACATAGGCATGTGTGCTTTCCAAACTAAGGCACAGACACATTCAGAAGCTGAAGCTGTCAAGTGATCTTGTGCAAAAACAGAGAAGCAGTGGGTAAATCTTAGATAGCTGCTGCAACAGGTGTTAGAAGAATTTTACGGGGTACATAAGCTACAGAAGTAGTGAAGACCATGTATCAGTTGTAGCAGGTGAAAATGAACATGCATACAATAACAAATATGAAGTCTATCATAAAACTCTAACTTCATACCAGTTCACAGAAAGAAAATGTAACCATTTCAAGAAATCGATGGCGTGGTTTTAAAGGGATCTCCAAATTCAAAACCATCAACAGAAATGAGACGTACAGTTTTCAAATTTGGATGCTAAAAGCTTCCTCATTTGGGAAAAAAGAACATGCGTATATTGTTGGTCAATGGAAATTCTGTGATCATTTCTTCAATACAAGTTTCTACAATTGCCTAGGGGTGGGAAGGAGGGAACAAAAGTACAAGCAAATTTAAGTAGTTTGAGTGTGGAATTCAAGGGAGGTACATATGCTTTGGAAAATGCTTTCGCTTAGGCTCTGACTAAAGCCAAGTGAACTCAATCAGTGGAAGCTTTTCCTTACACTTCTAATAAATTCTGTTTGACAGGGAGAGAAGTAGGTTATGAAGAAACAAGGATAAAACACTGGCTGGAAAAAAAATGAATTATTCTTACAGTATCAATGTGCTGTAGATTAGGCAGTCTGAAAGAAGAGAGACAGAGAAGAGAAAGCTCATTGAGAAGGGAACCTGATTTTTAATGAAGACTTTCCCATCTCCAGAAATAGGGGAAGGTCTAATCTCTCTTCTGTTTTATGTTAAGCTTATACATTCTCTTCTCTACTTTTGCTCTCCGCAGTCTGGTCTGCAAACTATCATTCCCTGTTTCTTCAAAGAGAAATTTCAACTACTCAAGACTGTAAGAGTTCTGGCCTTTTCTTCAGCTGCTTGGAGTGTCTATCAATCCAATAAAGCTCTCCAATAAATTACTCTGCAAATAAAGCTGCAATAAAAACTAAGAGAGATTGAAGATCCCAGCCCACATTGTTCTTCACTTGGTACGAATATTCATAAAACCCAGCACTGATCAATACTGATTTAAAATCTGTCATTCTCCTCAAGAAAACAGATTCCCTTAGGAATGATTCTAATATCTTCAAACCAGAGTATTCCAAAGCTTTTAAAAATAAAGAAAAAAAAAGGCAGAAAAGATTCACAGCTCTTCCAAATGTGTAAAAGAGAAGAAAAATAAATGCAGAAAGTGAATGCATTAAACGTTGTGAACCATCTATCCAAAAGTGCTTTTTCAAGTTTCTCTATAGGAAACTGAAAGACAACAATTGTATTTTAAATAAAAATATAGCAATAACCTACTTTTCAAACAAATGTCTTCCAACTTCAGAATCTACTGCACTCAGTGGATCGTCCAAAAGATAGATATCTGCATCCTGATATACAGCTCTATAAGGTTTAAAGAAAAGCCAGCGTCACAAAGTTTTACTTTCATTTACTTTCAGTTACTAATGTCTGTCAACAAATACATTTTAGAAACAACAAAAATACTAACCTGGCCAGATTTACACGGGCCTTCTGTCCCCCACTCAGCGTAGCTCCACGATCTCCTATAACTGTTAGGTCACCGTTTGCTAGTAAGTCCAAGTCCTGTGAACATAAAGAACAGGCAGAAAGCAATTAAAATAAATCATCTGAACCTCAAAAGTAAGCCTATTTCAAGATAACATTCTCCTATTTCAACAGTATTGTTTAATGTATTACCTTACATTAAAAAACAAGGACCATACTGGGTGAAATATCTACTATTAACTTCTTAGTTTGTACCTTCAACAAAAGATTATTAAGAAAGCAGGAAAAATAGGTGAGGTCTTAAAGATTTGTTTTTACAACAAGGTTTGCCAAAGGAAAGCACACAACCATTCTTATTGTTATATGGAATATTGTTGGTGATTCAGACCAGTCTAAAATAAAAATTAAGTATAATAATTATTTAACAAAATGAACTGTCACAATAAATAAAACTAGCTTCTATCAGTAGATTATTTTCCATTATCATTGTCTCTAAGAATTACATTTGTTTTATTTGCACTACAATTTATTAAAAAGAAATAACCACACCATTCAGTACAAAAAATTGGTTAAGTTCTAGGACTGTAGACTATTAGAATAAAATGCACACTGTTCCATCTCATAATACTGTATTTTCTCAAATGAATACGTAAGTTTTATATATTTATATTATATTTATATTTATATTATATTGTAAGCTATAAAACATATTCAAAGCTTTAATAAGAAACATGCATTTGAAACAGAACAATGAAAACGTATCTACTATCAAATACTGTGGGTTTTTTTAAACACAGTCTGCCATCTTTTTAAGTCAATGAAACCTTAAGTTTAGACAACAGCCTATGACTGAGTATCAGCAGAAGATATTAAAACTCAACCCACTATGTGTAAAAGCCTTGCAAAAAAATTTCATCACAGCAACCATCTGCTTTTCACCTGTGTTGCTGCTGACAGGAATATCATAACATGCTGCATAAAACCTTTTTAGCTGCCAAGCAAAATGTCTGTTTCTTGACAAATCTGGCTTAATCCTCTCCTATATCTCATGTCACAAACTCCTTTACACACAGACCTTTCAAAAATATTTTTTCATAAAACTACTTGGGCTCGGCAAGTTATCCAATATATACCACTAAGGTTCTTTGATAGCTTTACCAATGCATAATAAATGATATCTACTTTATTTTTTTTTAAAGCATAAGGGATATTTATAAAATAAAAGTCACAAAAAGTGCTAGTTCAATCATTTGTTTTTTCACATCTTGTTAAATCTACGCACATACCTACTGTAATACTGATGAGCATGCTCATGAAATTAAACATCTGTGAACAGCTTTTTTCCAAATTTGTTTGAGCTTTACATAAACCACATCTCCCTCTAGTGAAAGTTTTAGGAATTATATGAATGTCCTTACACGTGGATGTCAGAAATAATGCCTGCATCTCTATTAAGAATTTATTTCTCACAGTACAAATAAAAATCAATTCTATATATTATATAATGCAGCACGTAATGCTAGCCTGCAAGAACATTAAGATTAATGCTGGAAGTAAAACACACAAAAAGAAAAGCATACCTTTTTGAGAGCACAGACTTTTAAAACTTTTTCGTACTTTTCTCTCTCATATTCCTTGTCAAACAGTATGTTACTTCTAACAGTACCAGAAAACACCCATGGCTGCTGAGAAACATAGGCAATTCTTCCAGAAACATTTATCAAACCTTTCTCCTTAGGTAGCTCACCAAGCACAGCGCTTAGGAGGGAAGACTGAAAAACATCATAAAATAAAAATTCAGAAGTCTGATTGCATTCAAAACATCACTGAGTTTGAGTAGTGTTTTTTTGGCATGGTGGCTTATTTCACTCTGCCACCCAAAGTACTGTTAGTCTAAATGCACAAGTACCCTTTGCATGCAGTCTAGAAGCAAAATGCAAAGTATGGTCCAACTTTGAACGCTTTCCTCCCCACCCACAGGACATCTGCCTTTCTTGAATGACAGCACCCTGATGTTATGCATACTATTATACACAAAAGATCTTTACAATTGGAAGCTTTTAGCCATGTTAACAGATTAAAAAACCTCACAGAATGGACTTACTTTTCCAGCTCCCACAGGACCGATCACAGCCAGTAATTCCCCTTGTCTGACGGTAAATGAAAGCTGTTGGAGTGCTGGGCTTTCTAAACTCTACGGATATAAGAAAAAGTCACACTTCATCAGTCATGAAATATATATCATCAAAACAGCTCTTAGAAACAGAGGATAATGCATGTAAATGACCGTAAGTTAGCAAACCGTATGACAACCATATTTTAAGACATGTGGTTTGCCTCTTCAGTAATTCACAAACACCTCTGACAGTCACCAATCTCTAATCCAAAATTACTAACACACAAAATTGCATTCAGGGAATGAGGAACCTAAAGGCAATAGCAGCAGCAGCACCACTTCTTCCCAGCCCACCTCTCCAGGCTGTTGCTCAGCACAGAGTTGAGACAGTAGTCTTGAAAACAGGAGGTCTTGGCTGGCCATCTCCATAGTATTCACAGCTCCAGCCCTGCACATTCGGCTTCACCGCGCAGAAAGGCATACGTTTTAAAAGAGAGGATCTGAAGCTTTCTCAAAACCTGGGAAGCTAAGACTGTGCTTGCTCTCACCAAGGCCTGACTATCAAAAGTCAAAACAGAAGAGTACTGTTTGCTTCTACACAGCTTCATCTCATGCAACTTGGAAGCCTTTGGCAGACAATGATGTGGGCTATTTGAGTAAAAATATGTGACCTGGAATTCTTTGTTCAATAGTACACCTATTCTTTATGTCACACTACTGGTAAGAGCTAATATATTGCACCATTTTTACCAATGTATAATTGTAAAAATCACAGAATAATAGGACGTATTGGGTTGGAAGGAGGCTGAAATATCAGCCAGTTCCAACATCCCTGCCACGGGCAGGGCTACTACCCACCAGATCAAGCTGCCCAGGGTCCTATCCAACCGGGCTTTGAATGCCTCTAAGGATGTGGCATCCACAGCTTTTCTGGGCAGCCTGTTCCACCCTCAATGTGAAGAATTTCTTCCTAGTCTAAATCTACTTTTAGTTTCTAGCCATTCTGCCTCATCCTACCACTATACTCCCTGATCACAGAATCACCAAGGTTGTAAAAGACCTTCAAGGTCATCCAGTCCAACCACCCACCAATCACCAATAGTATTCACTAAACCATGTCCCTCAACACAACATCCAAATGTTCCTTGAACACCTCCAGGGTCAGTGACTCCACCACCTCCCCAGACAGCCCATTCCAGAACCTGACCACTCTTTCAGAAAAGTAGTATTTCCTAATGTCCAGCCTAAATCTCCCCTGGCACAGTTTGAAGTCATTCCCTCTAGTTCTATCACTAGTTACACGAGAGAAAAAGCCAACCCCCAGCGCACTACAACCTCCCTTCAGGTAGTTTTAGAGAGTTATAAGAAGTAAGAGAGCAATGAGGTCTCCCCTGAGCATTCCTCAGACTGAACAATCCCAGCTCCTTCAGCCGCTCCTCATGAAGCCTGTGCTCCAGACCCCTCACCAGCTTTGCTGTCCTTCTTTAAACCTGCTCCAGGGCCTCAATGTCTTTGTTGCAGTGAGGGGCCCAAAACTGGACACATTGCCTGAGGTGCAGCCTCACCAGAGCTGAGTACAGGGGGACAATCACTTCCCCGTTCCTGCTGGCAACACCGTTCCTGATGCAGGCCAAGATGCCATTGGCCTTCTTGGCCACCTGGGCACACTGTCGGCTCATGTTCAGCTGAGCATCAATCAATACCCCCAGGTCCATTTCCTCTACGCAGTCTTCCAGTTACTCTGCCCCAGGCCTGTAGCGTCGCCTGGGGTTGTTGTAGCCGAAGTGCAGGACCCGGCATTTGGCCTTGTTGAAACTCATCCCATTGGCTTCAGCCCAGCTCTCCAGCCTGTCCAGATCCCTCTGTAGGGCCTCGCTACCCCCAGGCAGATCCACACTTCCAGCCAATTTGGTGTCATCTGCGAATTTACTGAGGGTGCACTCAGTGCCCTCATCAAGGTCATCAATAAAGATATTGAAGAGGACAGGCCCCAGCACCGACCCCTGGGGAACACCACTCACGACCGGTCGCCAGCTGGATTTGACTCCATTCACCACCACTCTCTGGGCCCGGCCCTCCAGCCAGTTCCTTATCCAGCCAAGAGCGTACCTGTCCAAAACACAGGCTGCCAGCTTCTGCAGGAGAATGCTGTGGGAGACAGTGTCAAAGGCCTTGCTGAAGTCTAGGTAGACTACATCAACAGCTTTTCCCTCATCTACCAGATAGGTCAATTGGTCATAGAAGGAGATCAAGTTGGTCAAGCAGGACCTGCCCTCCGTGAACCCATGCTGGTTAGCCCTGATCCCTTGGTTGTCCTGCACATGCTCCGTGATCTCCCTCAAGACAATCTGCTCCATAACCTTCCCTGGCACCGAGGTCAGGCTAACAGGCCTGTAGTTCCCCGGATCCTTCTTACAACCCTTCTTGTAGATGGGAGTCACATCAGCAAGCCTCCAGTCTTCTGGGACCTCACCAGTCAACAAAGAGTGCTGATAGATAATGGTGAGCGGCTCGGCTATCACCTCCGCCAGTTCCCTCAGCACTCTTGTATGAATCCCATCTGGCCCCATGGACTTGCGGCAGTCCAGTTGGAGTAGTAGGTCTCTGACTGTATCCTCCAGAATTGCAGGGGGTTCTGTCTGCACTCCAGTCGAGACTACCAGGTTAGAGAGCAGAGTATCCTGAGGATAACTGGTGTGACCTTTAAAGACAGACATAAAGAAGGCATTCAGAACCTCTGTCTTTTCCTTATCCTCAGTGGTCACATTCCCAGCCTCATCCAGTAAAGAATGGAGATTCTCCTTAGTCCTCCTCTAACTGTTGATGTATTTGTAAAAGGGTTTCTTGTTCCTTTTAACCCCAGTGGCCAGGTTGAATTCAAGCTGGGCTTTTGACTTTCTGATTTTCTCTCTACACATCTTAACAACTTCTCTGTACCCTTTCTGAGTCACCCGTCCCTTCTTCCACAAGCAGTAGATTCTCTTTTTCTCCTGGAGCCTCAAGAATAGCTCCCTGTTCATCCACACCGGTCTTCTCCCCCGCCAGCTCATTTTGCGGCTCAGGGGGACAGCCATCCCCTGTGCCTTTAAGACTTCCTTCTTAAAGAGTGACCAGCCATCTTGGACCCCTTTACTCTCTAAGACTGAAACCTAGGGGAATTCCCCTACTAGCCTTCTGAGTAATTCAAAGTCCGCTCTCTGGAAGTCTAAGGTAGCAGTTTTGCTGTTCCCCCTCCTGGCTCCACCAAGAATTGAGAACTCTACCATTTCATGGTCACTCTGTCCAAGACAGCCCCCAACCTCCACACCTCCCACCAGATCTTCTCTGTTAGTGAACAGCAGTTCAAGTGGGGCAGCTCCTCTCATCGGCTCTCTCACCAGCTGCATCAGAAAGTTATCCTCCATACACTCCAGAAACGTCCTAGACTGCTTCTTCTGCGCTGATAAAACAGTCACTTTCCCAGCTTTCCTGTAGGCCCCCTTCAAATACTGAAAGACCACAATGAGGTCTTGCTGGAGCTTTCTCTTCTCCAGGCTAACAACTCCAGTTCTCTTAGCCTGTCTGTCATAGGAAAGATCTCCAAATCCTCTGACTATCCTCATGGCCTCCTCTGGAGGAGAAGAAACAGTTCCACGTTCTGCTCTGGGCCCTAGAGCTGAATGGAGTAATCCAGATGGAATCTCACAAGAGCAGAGAAGAGGGAGACACTCATTTTTTACAAGGAGAGTGGTTAGGCCCTGGAACGGGCTGCCCAGGGAGGTTGTGGATGCCCCGTCCTTGGACGTGTTCAAGGCCAGGTTGGATGGGATCCTGGGCAACCTGATCTAAATGTGTATGTTTGGTGGCCCTGCTAGGCAGGGGGGTTGGAACTACATGATCCTTGAGGTCCCTTCCAACCCGGGTGATTCAGTGATTCTGTGATTCTGCGATTCGCCTGATGTTCAGACTTCTGATGCAGCTCAGGACTACAAGTACTCACTGGCAGCTCACGCTAAGTTCTACTTCAACACCCCCAACTCCTTCACCTCAGGACTGCTTCCCAATCCATTTTCTACCCAGTCTGTAAGGTGCAGGACCTTGCACATGGCCTTGCTGAACTTCATGAAGTTCACACATGCTCACCTCTGTCTCTCTGGATGGCAAACCCTTTTCTCCAACATGTCAACTTCACCACACAGTTCGGTGTCATTCATACACCTGCTGAGGGAGACACACAATGCCCCTGTCTATGTCATCAACAAAGATGCTGACAGACCAATAGCATTGGTCTAATGCCCTGAGGAACAACACTCATCAATGGTCTCCACCAGGACATTGAGCCGCTGATCACAACACTTTCAGTGCAACAATTTATTCAATTCCTTATACACTAAATGGTCCATCCATCAAATCCACATCTCTCAAATTTATTGACAAAGATGTCATGTTGTCAATATGATGTCAATAGATGTCAAAGGCTTCACACAACTACAGGTAGTTAACGTCAGTTGCTTCTCCCTTACCCACCAGCGCTGTCATCAATGGCCTGTTTTCCAAGTGCCTTAGCACTGTTTTCAGTAGGATTTGTTCTATGACCTTGCAGGGCATAGAAGTGATACTAACTACCTTGTAATTCCCTGTGTCTCCCTTCTTTGTTCCACTTTAAAAAAATGAGGTTATGTTTCTCCGTTCCCAGTTAGTGCAGACTGCCACAGTTTCTGAAATATGATGAATAGTGGCTTAGCAACTCCATCCATAAGCTTCCCCAGTACCCTCAGGATGCACCTCAGCAGGCTCCATGGACTTGTGCATCCTCAGGTTCCTCAGATGATCTTGATAATGACTTTTTCCTACAGAGTGTGGTTCTTCATTCTCCAATCCCTGAATTTCACTTAGGAGACTAGGACAGCATGTCTACAATGCCTGATGGTAAAGAATGAGCCAAAAGAGCTGTTGAGTATCTCAGCCTTCTCCACATACTGGGAGCTAGAGTTGGAAAAGGCCTTACATACCATCTAGTTATAATACCCAACACTATCATGTCACGTGGCCATACACTACCTTTAATTTTAACCCATCAGCTCCCAGTTGGCTCCTCATCCATCCCCATCCATGCACTGCAGCTGATTACTGACATATCAAGTGGCACCTCCACTTCACTTCCCCTATTTCTTATGAAAAGGGGATCTTCACGTATTTAATAACAGTTCCCTCTAATTAAAGCAAAGCATCTTTGTAACAGGACCCACCCATATATCCATCTTAGACTGTACAAAGCACAACTGACACTAAAATGCAAATAATATAAAAGCAATCAAGCTGCCCTGTGACCAAATTCTGGAACTGCCAACAGGGGAAGCTTGCAACTAGCTGTTTTAAATGATTTGGGAAAGGCATGGTTGAGCTTATGAGAGGTGTTCACTCACATCTGTGCCAGCTGGGAGAACTAGGCTGACATGCATGTGCCTCCTCAGGCCAGCTTGATGAAACAGGAAAGCCCTTAGAGCCCAGTAGCACACACCCAATCAGATTTGCTATCTCACACAACAACCATGAGTTTTGCATTAAATCAGTCACAGCATAAGAATCCGAAGTTGCCTGCGCTCTGTAACACTGCAAAATCAGCTCTGCTGCTATCATTTATCTCCATAAGGTGGCAGCAACACGGCTCTTTTCTCAATTCTGTTATTTGATTTCTTGGTCCAGAGTATCCAGTTCAGGTGCTAAACTGGAGTTAAGGTCTGGAGAGCCCCACCAGTTTATGAAAGAAAATGCATTTTTTTTAATGCAAAGTTTTTAGGATGAGAAAATATCTGTTACTAAATCATTAATCTTTACAGAAAAGTAAATAAGCTTTCCCACATACCAGCCCTACCACAGAGCTCTCAATGATTGTAATGAGGTCCTGAGGTCATGATTCTGAAATTCTAAAAGATTCTTGCCCGGGTTTTCAAAACAGAACATCGTAAGAGCCTAATCCATTGAAGAATTTTTAAAAAAAAAATCTTAAAAATAATTATTTAAATATTAGACACTTAAGTGTTATTTAAGATATCATGGACCCGACACAAAACTAGTAATGCAAGCAAAAAGAATGACCACATATATCTCATAGAATCGTAGAATCATAGAATGGCTGGGTTGAAAAGGACCACAATGATCATCCAGTTTCAACCCCCCTGCTGTGTGCAGGGTCACCAACCACCAGACCAGGCTGCCCAGAGCCACTTCCAGCCTGGCCTTGAATGCCTCCAGGGATGGGGCATCCACAGCCTCCTTGGGCAACCTGTTCCAGTGTGTCACCACCCTCTGTGTGAAAAACTTCCTCCTAATATCTAACCTAAACCACTCTTGTCTTAGTTTAAAACCATTCCCCCTTGTCCTACTACTACTTCAAGAGCATGCTACTTTTGAAAAACACCATTATTTATAATTAAAGACAGTTTGCCCTATTTTTAGGCATTGTGGCACTTTAAATTAGAGCACAGACTGATGGTATGAATAAGTTCATCTGATAGCTAATTGCCACCAAATGTCTCAACTACCTTGGACCCTGATAAGCATTTGTGCCTGTCACTTTCCTTCTGCTGCCGCTTCTTCTTTCCTAGCTTTGTAGACAGGTTGTTCATCGGACTCAGCTTTCAAAGGACAAATCACATAAAAAGTGATTCATTTTTTACTGCTTTATCCCTGTGGACTGTCTCACCGTCAGGTGACACATACAAGCATTAACGCTGGCACACGGCACAAAGAACAAAGCAGTACAGTCCAAGGACACGGGACTGATCTCTTCACTGGGAGCAACTCCTTAGGTGAGTTTGGGCAGACATGATATCCCATATCCAAACAGAAGTAGTAATTCATCCCATCTATAGAGACAATACTTTGTATAGAAGTACTACGCTGCTTAGGCTCTTCATTTAAGTGACTACAATGACAACGGACAAACTTGGCCACTGTTCAAATCTTGAATTTTAAATCTGAAGTTTTTCAATAGAGCAGACAGGCTGTTCCAGAAATTAAAGGCACATCATGAAAAACACCATATTGAAGAAACTCTAGTTCCATGCTGCTATCAAACTAGCCTGTGGAACTCAGATAAGACTTGCCTCAGTAAAACAAGAGTGTGACCGTGAATTAATTGGTTTTGTTTATCTTTTGATAAACTGTAATACACCATGTTAAGTTGTTTTCCTAAGAGTCTACCTAATAATCCCTTTTTTACTTCCAGTGATTTTGGATTTGTGGGTTGTGTTTGGGTTTGTTGTTTTTTTTTTTCCTTAAGTATCTACTTCGGCTCATAATCCTTAAAAACAAACAAACAAAAAAATCATCATTCAGCTGTACAGTTGTTATACAGAGATCCAAAGAGTCATTAGAAACCCACTAAGGGTAGCAAGCTAAGTTGCTTACATGACAAAGTACAGCATACTTTTATTATTCCTTTTATAAATCCTCTCTCACAGAACTCACCATCTTTTCAGTTAGCAATTAAAATTATATATAAATGTATAAATAATAAATTTATAAATAATGTATAAAATTACTTTGCATTATTATAAGAGTATGTGAGAGAAATTTTCCGAGCTGCTTTTAAATTTCTGGGAGAACTGTTCTTCTCCCATGCACATTTCAATTATGTATCAAAATAAAAGTTAAATTACGAGTTCTGTTTTCTTTTTTAAACCAAAAGAAAACCAGTAATTCCAGTCACACTACCCAGCTTTAAATAATATAAATAACTCAGGAAAAACCTGAAGGTGTTTTATGGGAATACTGTGCAACCATTTCCTATAGATTAACCACCATTTTGGCAAGTGTGATGCATTTTAAGTAAAGAACAATTAGTAATTGAACATTCTCAGTTAAAATACATAGAGTAACAGACTTGTAGACTAGACTAAAGCTTTCAAACCTGCTATGGGAAGTATAATATTGTACTAGTTCTAGACTAAAGCACGGATCAACATTCAGTTCACTGCAAAAAAAAAACAAAAACACACACGCTAAGGCCTGCCTTAATGTGCTGTCTGTCCTTAATTCCAATTTGAATATCTAAGCTGCATTATAATCCTGTTTAATAACAAGACATTTTCAGAATTAATGTACAGGTTTTCAGTTAGTATAATATTCAAGCATAGGTACTTTTAAGATGCATTTGATACAGTTTAATACTATTCAACAGAGTTAGTCTAACATGCTAAAAGGTTTCTCCAACAAATGACGGAATACAAAACAAGAGCACACTATGCATAGACATAGACATTGTGCTTTTTAGGCTTACATTGCCTACAGCACAAGCATACTCTTAAAATTTAAAGTAAATTAAAAGTAAGCTTACCTTATCCCAGTAGCAAGTCAAATCCTGAACATGAAGAATGACATTCTCATTATTATCTTGCAGTTGTGGTTTGAAGTGTGAGACCTCATCAAGTATCAGGAAGTTCTGCAATAAAAGAAAAGAACAGGATACTGCCTAATGTGAGACTGGGAAAGAAACCCAAGAATATGCTTTTGCAAGCAGCATACAACACATCACTGATGGACAAAGTACACACACTCATGAAAGAACTGTATTTCCAAAAGCAATGCACAACTCATTCAAGTAATGCACCTCTAACTAGCTGATCATCCCAGAGATCACTTGGAAGCGCAGATTTCATTGCATAGCAGTACTGTGGGACTCTTAGCAGCAACCTGCTGGGCAACAGAAAATTCCTGAAGCAAACAGAACTTGAAAGTCAGTCCTGACAAACGTTATAATTGTTTGACTTCCTCTGCCCATGAAGAAGAGATGAAACCTCAACTGCAACACCTTATTGTTCCACTGCTTTCTCACTTTCCTTGCCTAGATGCTAGATTATAAATAGCTCAAACACACTTTGAAAGGAAAAAGGCAAATTCACAGGTAAAAGTTACCACAAGTTTAAGATAAAACACAGAAAAACCATCATGATTTGAATTGCTGACCATGAAGACCTTAAATAGGTCTCTAGCAGACAGTACCTTGAGGAATGTCAAATGCAGTTAACAAGTACTGAGCTAACAGTCTGCAGACATGAGACTGGTGCTGAAGACTTACAGAAGTCAGTAACTAAGAGGAAACAAAACAGAGCTGACAGACAGCTCTGAGGATGAGAACAGCACTTCTACATGTAAGCAAGCGCAAGGGACCTTGCTGAAAATTCAGCACCATTTTTAAGAGAGCTGTGAGAAGTCAAAGCATTTCATGCAGCAGTCTCCAAACTCAACGCACACATACATCTCCACCAAAAGGCAAAAGTGCAAAGTCAGTAGAAGTCTGAGATCTCCAGCCAGGTGAGTATTGCTGAGTCTGATTTTAGACAGGCAGGTGCAAAGGGCAGGTCTGGGAGAGAATCTGGGAGATGACGGTGGAAGTCAGAAAGAAATTCCAAACATACCTAAATCCATATTTGCAGCATGTGACATAAGAAAAAAAACCTTTGAAATGTGATTTGTGTTTAGATAACGACCCAAATATCAGAGGGTTATAAGCAAGGAATCAGTCTCCTGCTTGAGCTCTTACCAGGAATTTCTCTTCTAGCAGCAGCATTCAAATCAGCTGTAAGTGCTTGCCAGCCATTTAAGTAAAAAAATGTAAGCACACATGGAAGATTTTGAAGAAAAGCAGTACAAAACAAGAAAATAATTACAGGGCTAACACCAGGAATTTTATGTAGCAGGGGGTGGGTGCAGAAAATCAACACTATGAATAAAGTTCTCAAAAGCAGAATAACTGAAGCCTTAAAGACTTCTTCAGATCTCTCAAAACACTCTTCTGTTACTTTTATACCTAATAATCTTCCCTGCAGAGAAAAATAAAACCGCTAGCATCCACAGGATGCTGAGAAGCAAACATTAGCTTGAGATAGGACTATGTCCTTGAGAACAAAAACCTCCATCTTTTGTACTAAGACAATTTTTACCCTCCTTCCACAGCCTCTGTGGAAAACTTGTTGAAAAATTGTTCTCACTTTGTTTCACAAAATGGGAGTGTGAGCCACTGCTTCATCAAAAAGCAGGAGCTTCAAGGAGTGATGCAGCTGTACAGCTAAGGTGAGGGGACATGACAGCTTAAAGGGGAAAAAAAAAAAAAAAAAAAAGAAAAAAAGAAAGGAAGACTTTCTGCCACACAGTTCTTATGTATGTATGTATGTATGTATGTATGTATGTATGTTCTATGCATGAATACAGAGAAACAGCAAATACTTCCCATCCAACTATACTTTATTTTCACCTGAAGCATGGTATCTCCTGCTTTCTTGTCTCCAACTGAGCATATTTATGATCAGCACTGAAAACTCACTTGTTCTATAAAGCTCATGGAGAAAGTAATCTCTTAAAAAGCAAAACAATTCTTTTCAGTTTTGCCCAGATAGCCATCATCCTCATCCTTTTTTTTTTTTTTTTTTCCTGTATTCTGACTTTCTCTACCTAATTCCTTTCCACTTATTTACATTTCAGTAGCACATCTTTAGTTACAAAGCATCTTGTCATACAGTAGCAGAATGCCTAACTCTTACTTTGTGGCTTTGGAAATTGAAGCTAAAAAGTTCATGTCTGCATCAGGGATGCTAAAGATTCATCAGGACAATTATTTGTCCATTCCAGTGAACCTTCATTCTGGAGCTAGTTTTGAAAAAGTATCCTTATGGAATCCTAAATGCAGAGAAACTGAATCCAGCTGTCAAGAGCAAAATCTTTTGCCTTGTAGGATATACTGGAAAAGAAGACATGAGAGAAAAAGATTGCCACTATCTGCTCAAGTGCTTTTGTGTCTTGTTCTTAAGGCATCTTTTTTAGACTTTCACTCATGTTTTTCAACCTGCATAATTAGAATGATCACTTGAAAGAGCACTGTGTGGGAGCTGAACACAAGGTACATGTAAACACTGAAAAGACACTGCAACACCCAGCATCCCAAGCATTTCTCTTTCTTTCCTCCTAATTTGAACACTAATAAGAAACGCTATGGACTACAATTCTGTTGGGTGGTGATTTTCACACATTATGCTTTTCTAACTCCACTTTGCATCACCCTTCACAAAATGCTTCTTTGAAGAGCAGATTTTATCTGTTTAATACATAGTTTCCATGTGGACTTAGTACAATTAGCAAATTCATCAAGAAAAGTTTTATTATACTCAGGCATACGAAGAAAGACATTTTTAGGCACCTTCATTAATAAATGGCATAGTGACACTCGGTAAAGCCATATAATTACATGTACAGCATTTCTAGTTACCCCAATCTAATATTTTTTCACCAATGAAACCAAACTACTCCCACCAGTAATCGTACCTTGATTCGCCGTATGCTAACCACTGCCTCGGATACTCTCTCAACAGCCGAAGGGAAGAACAGAGTTACTGTCAGCCTGACTGCGCCATACAGGGACACTGCCACAAACACCCGACTTGCAGAGATAACATTGCCAAGTAGTACGTATGCCATGAAAGTCATGAACACTGTTATTTTGCTTGCCACAAAGAAAGAGGCCAAGTTCAATCCTCGAAGGTAGGAGCTTTTCAAAACCATGGCGATCTCCTTCCTAAAAGTGCAAAACATAAACAGTCACATCAATCCTTCCCATCACAGTTGCCCCCAACAGTAGGATGAGGGAGATTCCATTCTCAGGATTATACTTGTATATCCTTTCTCCTCCCCTTACACCACCTCAACTCATATGTAAAGAACTGTACTCAAAAGTAACTGTCAAGAAAGCAGGGTTCATGGAAAATAGCAAAATAAAATTTAAAAGTCTTACGAATTGAGGAAAATAAAAAGTTAAGATATGTGGTGTCTTGATAGCTATAGGAAAAAGAAGAATCTTTCAGAGACAGAAAACAAAAGTGCTTTTATTTCCTTTTGCGGTCAAACTATCATCTCAATTCCCATTCTAAGCTGCTTTGATTACTTCTGGATGGTGTACAAGAGAAAAAAGGAAAATAAATCTGTGTAATGGTCAAGCATCATGCAGCTCCTTATCTTTCCAACACAAAAATCTGAGTTTATTCACAAACTCTTAATAAGATCAACACATTCTCCTCAACCAGAAAAACAGGGCAACATCCATAACTTTTAAAAGTCCATCTGTGGACAATCAATCAGCTGCTGTTCCTCAAGCTGAATCATGGGGTTTGCAGTATTTCCTTTGATCTCAGTCTAAATCCTCTCACTTTGGACCCTGCTCCTGGTTTCTTCTGCTCCAGGAGTTCTGTTTGTAATTAAGAGAATACTGGTCTGCAAGGCCAATTGTTCTGGCAAATAGTCCCTGAGCTAAACAGTAGGTGATGTATGGCACAGACAAGAAGTCTCCCTGTAGAAATGTAATAGCTGATGAAGCACCTGTTTTCAATTCTCATTTCAGTTAAGCTTCAGTTTCGATTTCTAAATGAGTCCTCAAGTCCAGTGCTCAAAATGTTACTGCACTAGTTACAATGACACTGCCATCAGGCTTAAATTCATGTTAAAGGAAGAGGTTTTCTTTATCAAAAGAGACATAATCATTTGCTTCTTCCCCACATATATACTTTAATCTGCTTGAAATAACGTGGAATTTTATTAAAACAATTCCTAACTTATCTTCCTAAATATTCCAGCAATTCTCAGTTAAAAACTTGATCATTTTGATTACTTTCTACTTGAAACTATATGCAAAGATTAGAAAATCAAGTCATGATCATACTGCTTGAAATACACAAGGTCTTCACCTATGAAGAGAAAGATGCAGTAGCTACTACTGGAAAACTAGTTAAGCAACTTTCCCACTATTCTTGCCAAATTGGCTGAACTGACAGACTTTCAAAGCATTTCAAAGACATTTTCTCAGCTTAACGGCTCACAATCTCTGACCTCCTCCAAAGGACAGTGAAAGAACGTTTGTACGTAAACTATTGGAACTGGGCCTAATTTAATTACTTCTGGATGAAACTTTTTTCCCACATTCTAATAATCCCTAATAATCCTCTCACTATCTGTGGATAATTAGCAAGTTCTCTGTGCTTTTCTCCATAAATATCTGATAAATTACAATCAACCCATAGGCTGTATATTATATACCACACTGTCTCATGGAAGAGAGTTATTTCAAGGGAAACTAACACCAACAGCCACAGGAAAAAAAACAACAGAGAAGTTTAGATGTCATCTTAACTTTTCAGGGCCACTGTGGAAACACTGGGCAACAACTGGGATGAATTTAAAATTTCTAACTTCTAATTTTTTCACAGCACAGTGAAAGGGAGCTCAAGATGGTTCTGGAAGAGTTTATTTCACTCCATCAGTGGATAGGAAACCACTAATCTTAATGAGGTGCTGACTGCTGTGATATGACTGAGGAAGTTTTCAATAAGGAAATATCCTCTCTGGCTCCATGCAAGACACTGAAACATTCAATCAATTGAGAACACTTGGTCAGCATAGGATCCTATATTCTTTAGTACTGCAGTATGTATGGGAAGAAATATCTTGGGGAGCATCAGCGCATTTGAAAACTTGCATGTGGAAGGGAAAAAAATGCTTATTAAAAAAAAAAAAAAAAAAAGGAATGCCAAATAAATAGATAATGATAAATAAAAACAGTAACAGAGAATCTATGGCAGGTTAATAACCTTCTACTGATATGCTGGAGAAAAACTGCATGAAAACTAAGTGCTAGGAAACATGCACCTGAATTCCTGTCAAGAATAGCAAGTAGTGTTGAAAAACAAATTTATGAGTTAAGTTTTAATCAGATGCTGACAGATCTCTACAAAGAAACAATGCTGCACAATCAGAGCAATTCTGAGCTGTTATTATTCTGTCCTCCACCCCTTCAAAAGGCAAAAAGTGAAGAAGAGTAGTATCTGAAGATGCCATTCATTTAAGACAGTCAGATACCACATACTTCTCAAGAGAAATGTCTGCTTACTGGTCTCATTCTATTAGCTTAGAAGGCTGTGAAAAGGAACCTGTTCAATTACTTTATTTATCAGTTGCCATTTTTAAGCACAACTGTAAAAGCAAATAAAAATATATATATAGTTTACAAATATCAAATGATTTTTTATTTCTTCTGTCCTCTCAGAATATATTTTCAATCCTTCACTTTTGCTATAGAAAACTAAAAAAGCCAACGAAGTTCAAAAAAAAGCACTTTAAAGCAGAGAATAATGCACCTATTGACATGTGAAAAATGGAAGCAGACACAGATCATAAACCAAGCTGCATCTCTTCAGGATTACCTTCTCAAACCACTCACAAGTTCCGCAAATGATTTTTCCCATGCATACATCTTTATTATCTTCATACCACTTATGACTTCATTCATGGTCCTAATCCTGACATCTGTAAAGGCAGCTGTCTTGCTCCTGTAAATAGAAGTAAAAATTATCAGATTTTCTGAAGAAGATAAACTATTTTTATCTATAATACACCCACATTAAGTCTGTGCTCTTACTTCCAGAGGATTCACACAAATTAAACTGCATTAGAAGATCTTTCTTAAACAGTATTTTACAGCTCACACACAGCAAACAGATTTGATAATTCTGTCCATGTTCCTGGCATTCCCCACTCTTAGGGAACTGTCAGTTGATTCATGTCCAGAACTGTATATCAGTTTGTCCCACCACACTGTATTCCCTAAATTACAGCTTCACATATTAAAAATAATAACAAAAATGCTAAGTGTTACAATTAGAGCAAACAAAAAAACCGGAAAAGCATACATTCTTAAGAGTTGTTTTATTTTCACGTTTCAAATCTATTCTCCAAATGGTGTTTTGATGTTAAAGAAACCGGCCTTGATTTGCATCTTTTTAAGGCTAATTCTCCTTGAAGTACAGATGACTTGTAACACAGCATGAGCTATAATTTAGGAGAAACAAAAGCATATCTAAATTTCCTAAGTAAATAAACAGAATTTAAGTGCTGATTTTAAGAAATGCTGAATGAAGCATACCTACTCTAGTCGAGCATTATGATTGAACTGATGAACAAAGTAGGAAATACATCTAATTAAATAATAAAGTCACAGTTTCAATTAGGAAAAAAGCATTGAAAGTTAGAAGCTATGTCACAAATGCATAAACCATGCTAATAAAACAGGTTACAACTCTGAATTCATTCATGTAGAGAAGCATACATAGCACACAATTACCTATGGTGGGCTTTATTTTGATGAGCCCCACTTTTTTTCTGCTAAATAACATATTTTTATATGTAAAATCAATGAAAGACAAACTCAGAGACCAAATCAAAAAAGCAAAGACCGTGTCAGTTTAATCTGCTCCCCTGCAAGATTTCTCTAGAAGGAATAGCCACAATCAAAGGAGATATGAAGAAAGAACATCAGGTAACTGCTCATCATTTTAAACTAACTTACCAGTTACGGATTCCTAGTGACCAATAAAAGTTAGGTGGCTAAACCAAGTTATTACAGAAGAAATCAAGGAAACTGGCCCTAAAGTAATCAAGTCTTCTTACTAGCACTGAAAAAGACTGCTTAGCCTAAACCAACCCTACTAGCAGGGAATGAGAGAATCTTTGCAAAGTCCTTTTTTTCCTCTGTCAAAAAGAAGCAGTGAGACAAAAAGATTTCCTCAAAAAATGCAAGACCTTCTCCTTCCGCCTCACCCCTGCATGGCAAAGTACACAACATGTTGTTCATTTCTCTGTAGCAACAATGATTCTCACGTGCGATCTTTCAAAAACAGTTACCTTTCAAAGGTAACTTCCAGATTTGGCCTCCAGATGATAGAAGGTTGGAAGGAACCTTTAAAGGTCATCTAGATCAGCCTCCCCTGCAAGGAACAGAGTCACCTACTGCTAGACCAGGTTGCTCAGAGCCCCACCCAGCCTGACCTTGAATGTCTCCAGGGATGGGGCACCCACCACCTCTCTGGGCAACCTATCCTAGTGACTTACCATCCTAAGTGTAAAAAATGTCTTCCTTATACCCAATCTAAATCTCCCCTCTTTTAGTTTGAATCCATTACCCCTTCTATCTCAACAGACCCTGCTAAGGAGTCTGATCCCATCCTTCTTACAGTCCTCCTTTAGAAACTGAAAGGCAGCTATCAGGTCTCCCAGTGATCTCAAGCCTTCTCAGAAATATTACAATAATACTTGTTTTAAATTAAGCAAGTTACAGAACTCCTTTTCACATTCATGATGCACGTCCAGTGGATTCTGGTTATGTTTGACACAACAGTTCCAAATGTTATTCTTTAATAAATAAATGCATACACAGAGCTCTAAACGGGAACATTACGGTTGCATGGCTAAGCGCTGAAAGGGTTCAGTTCTTGTGAATATATTTTAAACAGTCTTCAGTCCACTAAATGAACTATTTCTCAAATAATAAAGGATTTCATGTGTACTTTGTGCAACACTCAGAACTCTTGCAGGTAAAAGCACAGGAAGAAGACCGAATAAGTACCTGTATAATAAACTGGTGTGCATGCATTTACAACATTGGGTTGAAAAGGCAATGTTGAGTAACGGCACAAATTCTGTGCCACGTGGACTGTGCCTGGCTTTGTGGAAAAGCCTTAAATTCTGAAATTACTTATTCATAGGGTGAATTCCTTGTATCCATGCAGATTTCCAGCAATTGTCACGTGAACGTACACATCATTACAAAGCTGGAATCCACTTCAGTTTTTCCAGTAACTCCTTCTGTTTACTGGGCATTTGTATGTCCACATGTACGTGAGCAAAAGCTCCTTCTGGTTAACAAATTCTTTCCCTTGCACTGCATCCAATAAAGTGGCCATTAATTAATAGGGAAAAAACCCAAGGAATGTTACATTGCCACTGGCTAACCTTTAAAATACATACCTTACAGAAGAGATTTTTGTCACCTTGTTGTCTGACCCTGGACAAGTCCCTTAATCTTTGTGCCTCAGTTTCCCATCTGTAAAATGGGAATAATAATGCTTACCACTTTGGAAAAGCACTCCGAACACCATGGATAAGGCACTATTTAGGTGTTAAGTATTTTAATTGTTGACATTAAAACTCAAATCAAGTGGAAAGTAGCTTGACACATATGAATGCATAGCACATATGCAGTGAAAATTTATACTTAGGAATATACATTCTACAAATAGATCTTATGAAGAACCTACGAAGCTGACAGAGAACATGGAATGATTCATTACTTGAGAAATAGCACATGAGCATAGTAACTGAAGACTAACACAGTGATTACAAGCAGAAGTATATCTGAGTTGGTGCACCTTTGTAATTCTCAGCTCTCTCTTCCTATCTAGCCATGCAACGGCAACGCCAGTCAATACTTCTGGAAAACCTGTCTTAAAATACAGCTTGAAAATAACCCTACAGTAATCCACTAAAAATTAAGTTTTGCTTATTTGAAAAGCTAAAAGGAACCCATTCACCCTGAACAGAAGTGCAACAAAGATGTGTAACCTACAAAGTGTACAAGTACACAGAAAAAAGTATTTCCATTTAGATGAAAAAGTAATTTATAAAACCAAAATGCAAGTAGAGCATGATTTTTTACACAACAGAAGGAAAATTAGGAAGCCAGAATATTGAAGATAACTTAACATTCCCACCTGAGATAAGTCATTTTTTAAGAGGAAGTCACAGAAAAAATAAATTAAATTTGTCTGACAGCGGAAAACTACTGCAGATCCATTTCATATATCTGCAACCCTAGAAACTTAGAGCTAGAAACAGTTGGCATCAAAACAGTGGTCATAATTTTGCTTTACTTTTCTCTCATTTCCTTCACCTTTTTCTTCTCTGCATCTTTATCTTGGAGGAGAGACAGCAAGATTTTTACACACAAAATTTTCAGAGCTTTCCACTCCACCTTTATAATCTCAATAAGTCAAACTTACGGCAAGAATGACAAGTAATAATCTCTCCCCTAAGCATTAGCTAAGTAAGGCAAAGCTCAAGTTGCTATGCAACTCTATGCCCAAAACCTACAAGGTAGATGTAGGAGAGCTACAGGGGAGCTACAAAAATAGCCCAAGGCTTTAATACACTGGACATCTAAAAAGTGCCAGATACTGTCTGCATCTCCAAGGGAAAAACAACTTCAAGTCCCTATGAACAGAGCTTCAGAAATCTCGCATTATTAACTATGAGAAACACTGGCAGAGATCAAAGAGAAAGCAGAAATCCTCATCAAATGGAAGCTGTTTTCATCCTAGTATTCTAACTCCATCCAGCCCTTAGACAAGGGGGATGTACAAATGTAGACAAGGGGGATGTATCAAACTCAGGTCAGAAAATACCTACAACCTGATGTATGCAACCTTACCTTAAAGAAGAAAAAAGCCTCCCAATGCAGGTTTGTACAGGCAGAAGAATAATCAGTACTGCCATTCCTGCAAGACACGATGGGCCTATTTCCATCCAGAGAAGTACTGTTACTGCTACAGCTTGAATTGGTCCAGCCCACAAGAAGTGCAAAAAAATTGTTACCTAGGCAAAGAGATAAGAAACAAAAATCAGCTTTCAGTCCTAGCTAAAATATTAAATCCTAATAATATGCAATTGAGAAAGCACCTCTGTCTGCAGTGGTACTGAGGCATTCAGTCAGAAGACCTGGTGCAATTCTGCACCAGATTCAGAGACCTGAATACAGCAGTCTATACTGAGGCGCCTAAGCTTTAGAAAGCAAATAAATCCCCACATTGACTTTCTTGTGCCAACATTCATCTGAGCTTAGGAAAACAGCAGGAAAGTATGAAACAGACAAAAAGAATGCTTTATGAGAATAAAAAATATTTTAAGGAGTTGGGTTCGATGATATCTATTGGTTCTTTCCAGCTCAGGATACTCTACGATTCTATGACTCTATGAATATTTCTTTCCATGTGATATTTGAGGAACAACTAGAAGAAATGTTCATAAGAAATACATATCACCAGAAAGATCTGTAATAGTTCTTACCTGATCAAATTTGTTCACATCATTTGAGAGAAGATTTACTATTTGTCCAGTGGTAGTTTTTGCCATTGCTACATTACTGAGACGGAGCGCCTAAAAAATTGAAAGCAGTCCCAGTTTGTCACAGCTTATACAGCACAGAATGCATGTAGTTAGAAGACTCAATGCACATATACAATGCTGGAACAAAAGCTTTTCCTGAGAGTATCTGGGCACAATTCTAAAACGTTAGACAATATGTTGGTTAACACTCCAAACCTGAAGGTGAGTCTATTGAAAAAACAAGCAGTGTAGGGAAAAGACTGCAAGAACACAAGTGCCATAAAAAAACACTATCTTCACTTTCTCTGAAATGGGAAAATACCAACATAGCAATTACTAAAGCTAAACAGAAAAGCTTTTAACTTTTCGTTTACATTGATCTCCCACCCATATTACAAGCAACTTTACAAAATTAAAATAGAAAACTCTACCTGAAGATCAAATTAAAATCAGGGCAATGTTTGCACAATCAAAATAATTTTGTTGTGAGATTCCTGGCAGAATGCAATCAATGAAGTCATTCTTTTTATACTATCACTCCTTAGTAACAATGCAAACTCCATCTTCTGTCTTTGAAAATCGAAGTTAGTATCCCTCTACAAAGTGTAAACATTTCCATTGGTGACAACACCTGTTAAATGCTAAAATTTCTAGATTACATTACAAGAAGCACGTGCCATGAAAAACAACAGCAGTAAATACCAAATGGTTTTGCCGGCTGATATAGATTAATCGGTAGAAAACAGAATGTGATTACAACAATATCCCCAGAAATATCTTATCTATAAACCTGCAGTCTGAGTATTACCATTGAGATCCAAACTGAGATAGATCTAAGATGCAGATAACAGACTCTGCTTCCTTCTATACTTGCTACAAAGAAACAGTTTTGCTGCACAAATAAAACAACAAACAAAACGTGCTACACATTTTCCTGTAACAGGAATAGTTCACTCCCCAAAAACACTGAGCATTTCTACTTAGTGCACATCTACTCTCCCTTTCCACCATCTATGGCTTTAAATATTGCTTTGATCATAGTGCTTCCAAATTCACTCTCAAGGTAAGAAATACAACTAAAAAAATAATTAAAGCTAACAATTTTTAAAAAGCAACTGTACACTGAATTTACATTTGACTTTACGTTTGCCAATTCTCTATTTTCAGCTCAAGGATATTCTATTACTTTTCCATACAGATCTATTTCCCAGCACAAATCCTTTCTCAAAGAAAAGAGTTTCTAGTTACATCAGAGAATCATAGAATGGTCTCGGTTGAAAAGGACCACAATGATCATCCAGTTTCAACCCCCCTGCTGTGGGTGGGGCCACCAACCACCAGACCAGGCTGCCCAGAGCCACATCCAGCCTGGCCTTCAATGCCTCCAGGGGTAGAGCATCCACAGCCTCCTTGGGCAGCCTGTTCCAGTGTGTCACCACCCTCTGAGTGAGAAAACTTCTTCCTAATATCTAACCTAAACCGCCCCTGTCTCAGTTTAAAACCATTCCCCCTTGTCCTATCACTATCCACCCTTGTAAATAGTCGTTCCCCCTCCTGTTCATATGCTCCCTTTAACTACTGGAAGGCCAGATTGAGGTCTCCACGCAGCCTTCTCTAAGCTAAACAAGCCCAGTTCCCTCAATATTTCCTCACAGGAGAGGTGCTCCAGCCCTCTGATCATCTTAGTGGCCCTCCTCTGGACCTGCTCCAAGAGCTCCATGTCCTTCCTGTACTGGGTTCCCCAGGCCTGGACACAGTACTGCAGATGGGGCCTCACAAGAGCTGAGCAGAGGGGGACAATCACCTACCTGTCTCTCCTTGCTGGCCACCCCTTTTTTAATGCAGCCCAGAACACAGTTGGCCATTTCTACACTTACTAGCTCAGTTCACACTCTGCTCTTTTTCAGATGTAATTGTACAGACCAAATTTCAGTATTTTTACCATTCCTTGACTTCTGTCCTCCAATCTTAGTGTTTTAATCTCTCCATGCCTCAAACTGTTAATTCAAGGGCACAGAGAAGGGATAAGAAGTGACTATGGAGAAGAATACCGCAATTATTCAGTCAAATAACTCCTGACACCTTTCTGTCTGCTTCCTGTCTCAACAACTTCACAGGTTAAACCACTTCAGTGTTTAATTTTGAACCTTCAAGAATTTATATGATTAAAGTCTTCCTCCCCTCCAAGCCTTCCATAAGTAGTCTTTGGTTTTCAAGCATGAAGTTGAGGTATGAGACAGATTTTTCTTTTCCTGTGCATCACCAGTGCTTCTTACTGATCACAAAACACCTCAGAGCTTGAATACAGGCTTTTTGCAAATAAGATGAGATTTTAACTTTCCCAGAAACAGAAAAGGTACAAAATATAAGAAGTTTGTTTGCCGTCTGAAGTTCTGTATTAAGGATGCTCTCCCACTCAACCCACTCATCCTTGCACATCCAAGGTCCTATTTACTACGGCACTTAATGATCACTGCAAAACTGCAGGTAAATCAGCATCCAGATTCTTTCAAAAGCATCTATGGGAATAAAGAGGAAGTATGACCTATCTATAAGCCTCAGATAATGGAGACAACTGATTAGCAGGGTTTATCAATGTTCTACTGCGACCTCAGCCTTCACCCTCAGGAGTAAACATTTATGAGATGAGGGGAGATTAATTTTGCATTTAATCACATCTCTAGAAATAAGGATGCACGTTATAAACACTTTTTTGCCAAGCTTCTAGGCTTCTAAGCTAATATCAACACTGCAACAACATCACTATATACATATTTCATGAATTTCAAACTGTTATGATAATCAGTTGAGTAAATTAATACCTTAGAGATGTGCTTATGTACAAGAAAGCACTGTGCCCTGTTAGAATTGAGTTCCCAGAGGACAATTTCCAAGGTATCAGAAGAGGGAGAAGAATAAATACGCACATGAAAAAGAATCTCCACTTAGAATTTTTGCTCTCCTCACTTCTACTGCTTTCCCTAAAAACCTCACATAATCTATCACAGCATTGTAAGTGTAGTGGGTGGCACTTATGGCTAAAGTTACATGGTTTTATTTATATTTTAAGTAAGATTTGCACTCCTGATCCTTCACTCAAACTTCTTTGCTGAGGTCTGCCACAGGCAGGTTGCTAAATGAGACGTGCAGTGCATTTTCTCTTCTTTACCAGCTTGGAAGTGGAGAAAGACTCAATGGCTCAGGCACTTAGCACCTCCAGAAGAGGGAAGCAGACATTCAGAACTGGCTCACTTGCTCCCTGGAATACCCCAAGGCCAGCATTTCACACTTGATGTTACTAAACCTCATCTCATAACGTGATATCCCCAGCTCCTCCTGATTCACCTTCCATCTCATAGCGGCCCTGCAGCCTGGAGGGGGCAGCAGCAATACTGCACTATCTCCACATCTCACTGAACTAACCCCATGCTCTCAGCCGGAAATCCCCCTGACCTGCAAAGCAGGCAATTCACTGTCCCTAAAGCACTGCGGAAGAAAACAGAAATGAGTCAGGCCATTAATCACAGCAGGGGGGTAAGATCACACAGTGAAGCAACTCCCAGGCACGGGGGTGCGGAGGCTCATGGTGACATTCAAACACAATGTTCTTCCTGGGGAAGAAACTGGAGGGCTGACAGACTGCAGGCAGGAAGCAGGTAGGGCCCAGCACCCACCAGCAGCTCTGCCCTTCTGCTGGATGCTGACCACCTCCTGCTGCTCCAGCAACAAGCCCTTCCACCAGCAGCAGGTGAACACCAGCAGCTCATCCTAAGCTTTAAGTCCTTCACTGCGAGGACTGAAGGGGTCATTCAGACATCATGTTACTCAAGGAAGAGCAAAAGATTCATTTAAGAGATGATGTATATTATTAGAGTGCAGTACATTTCTACAAATGAGTAACTTCAGTGGTACTGCAAGAACGAGCGCAACAAAGAGCTGTATTTTTAACCCCATTCATCACATGAAATAGCACCTGAACACCAAATATTACTCATAACTTTTGCTTACCTTCCGATAAATCATATGACACATAGCCACTCTGAGCTTCATGCCAGCCCGCTGTACATGATAGAAGTATAAGTGGTGCATTATAGCTAGAATCAGTGTGCACACAGACAGAGCAGCTGCGTAGCAATATGCAATGTTCAAAGCCACCTCATCTGAGGCATCATAGTTTTCAAAATAACTAATAATTTTTCCCAAAAATACTGGCTGAACTATTTTGAGGGTTTCCTAAAAGAAAAAGAAGAAAAACAAGCATCAACAATTTCATATCATACCACGCTCCCCATCTCAGTGTCCAAGCAAAAAAAGCTAAGTTACTGCCACAAATTATACCCTACATTATTTTTTCATTCTCTAAAACATCAAGCCAATTCTTATAAAAACATACTCCAAAATAATTTAACCCCCATTAAAATTCAGCTAGATTTTTAAAAAGAACTCTGTCACTTACCAGTAAGAGCTTTGAGGTTATAGAAGTTACATGAATATATATTACACTTGCATATTCAAGGATAACTTAGTGTGTCCTTTACAACCATTTACGTATATCAGGAAAAAAAAAAACCCAAACTTCTTCTGTGGGGCATCTCCCTCAGATATACAGAATAAAGCTAAGCCCTATAAAGCAAGTCAGATAGTTTGTAATGTCTCAGAAGTATTGCATTGGAATCATTCTCTATTCCAAGTCCATAACTCTGCAGCCACAGCTCAGTTTTTCAGTCTCAAAGGGGCTGCATCTCTGTCTTATTTTTCTGAGAGAGCATATGAACAGCATGGATTGTATGGATTCTCTGAACAACTCAGCATAAAATCATTTAAGTATTACACAACCTCAAAGGTCAAATTCCACATCACTGCTAGCTAAGAAATACACTGCATCACATTTTATATCACTTACCTCAATCATTGTGAAAATTCCAAGAACTAAATAGGATTTCCAGTAACAAAGAATAATTGCTTTAGTTAAATGGGGTGTTTTTCCTCTTTTTTTTGCTTTTTGCACCTCTTTATCCCAGTACCTGACAAACAAAAAACAAATATGCTGCAGACAGCAGTAAAACAATAAGGCAATTCCCTGGAGTAAAACAGTTTCAGACTTGCAGCAGGATTGCCACCATCACCTTTATACTCTTCATTCATTAAGAAATTAAGAAGATAACAGGTAGTAATGTTTTCTCATCAACATACTGTGCTTAGCATTACAAGATTATTCTCCTGTAATCAGACCTTCTCTCCTATCTGCCCCTCACTCGTCTCTGCCCTATGATTTCATGAAAACAAACAGATATGGCACCATCTGCCTTTTTAAAGCATTAGCAGCAGTTCAGTCACTTCGCACTCCTCACGTCTCTCTGAAGGATTTCACCAGCTGAGTAGCAATGACCTTTGTGTTAACCACGTTTCCACCCACAAGCAAGATACAATCTGCTCAGATTAAAATCAAAGGTGGTAATACCAAGAACGATGTTGTCCAGTTAAACGCAAACATGAAATTAACTGGAACTTAAGGAGACATTTAAAATACACTTGTCAGACAAGGCATCCCCCTTGCTTCTGGAGGCTAAATATTTTTTGCCAGGCCCTCTGACTTCGCTTGTTTGAGGGCTGAAATTAGTCTAACTCATGAAAGCCAATTTTGTTATTTTGTAACACGGCACACAAGTTTGAAGCATACAGTATGGATGGGAAAACATAACTTCTTCATTTTACCTTCTTTTTTTATTAAAAGAATTATAATCATTGTCTAAATAGATACTCCAGAATCAGAACTGAAACTAGACAGATTCTTTTTGCTGGCCAAAGAGAAGTAGCTCTTCCTTCAGTGGCTATTTATGAATTATATTCTTTGCTTCTGAGCCAAGTCCACTAGGGAATAAAAAGAACCTTTTTTTATTTGGCATGCTGTATTTTCTACCATTTCCTGACTCACGGAAAGTGTGCGCTTTTACTGTAAGAATCATTGGAAAGCATTCATCTTCCTCTACAGTGCACTCCCTGAACAGCTTCAAGACACATCCTTGGACTTTGGCAAACATCACAAGCCAGCTTACCACTGCCTCTCATTCTTCACCTTCCTCAGGCATGGCAGGGTAATAAAAGCCATAACCTTCAGTTTCTGGATTCCTTTCACTCCTTAAGGAGCCTCTTGCCCTAACTAAACTATTAGGAATGCTGATTTGCTCTACATCCTCCAGCATAAAGACAAGGCCACAGTTTATTAATTCAGAGATCACCTTTCGCTGGGAGAGACCTCTTGTCTACTTAACAAAATTATTTGAATACAAAACCTTTCTCTACTGAAAGGTTCAAGACAATTTCTGAGGGCTGCTCCAAAAGTAATGCCTGCTGGTAGGGCAGTAGAAGCTGAACCTTCCCACTAATACACCGTCCCATGTTGCTGCCATGTGACAGAGAGCAGCAGAGGGGCAGCCTTTCAAAATAGTATCTGACACAGATGTGCATATGAAGCAAAGGGAAGTCACTGAATGACTCCATGTGGAAACATGCATGGACATTCACTGACACTTACTGAATCATTCATCAAACACATGTGAAGACCAAGCAGTGGGTGGTGTGCTTCAGCAGTGGCAAAAGCAGCTTAAAAGATCAGGTATGTTCCGGATGGCCATGCACAGCTGTCCCACCAGGAAATGAAATGTGTGACATTCACACAAACCGGTGGATGACGACCAGGGAACTGTAAATGGAGCTGAATACTGGCTTCAGTGTGTTAGAAATTCTGGTAGCAATGCTGGAATAGTGCAAAGTTCGTGTCAGGTGAGTTCCATGAATATTCACACAGGAACAGAAAGAAAAGCGCATGCAAGTTTGTCAGGCCCTACTGAATTCATACAAGGCTGAGGGTGACAGTTTCCTGGATCACATCATTACTGGGGATGAGACACAGTGTCACCCCTACAAGCCCCAGTCAAAATGGCAGTCGTTGAGTGGACACATGAATTCCCCACCAAAGAAAAAGGTCAAGCCACAGTCCTCAGTGGGTAATGTGATGTGTCATGCTTTGGGATAGGAAAGGAGTAATTCTTCTTTGGATTTTCTGGAACCTAGAAAAACCATCATCTCTGACCACTAAATCACAACACTGACTAAGCTAAGGCTCAAACTTCTAGAGTCAGATCAGAGAAGAAGACAAGCTTTATCCTGCAACACAGTAACACCAGGTGTCATTCCAGTCTGAAGACTTGAGCACATCGCCAATACTGGCTGGACTGACTGTCCCACAGCAACCACTGTATAATCTGGATCTGGCACCTTCTGACTTTTATCTGTTTAGTCTGATAAAAGATGGACTGCTTAGGCAATATTTTCCTAGCAATTATGCTGTCAGAGCAGCTCTGAAACAGTGGGTCATCTCCGCTGGTGCACATTTTTTAAGAGTGTAGCATGTAGAGTCCTGTTCATTGCTGGCAAAAATGCATAAACAACATAAATAACAATGGTGACTACTGAAAAATGGTGTAATGTAACTGAGAATTTGCTCTACAAAACAGTGTTATTGTGCTTTTTGTATTTGTTGTAGTTTACACGGAAATAAAGAGATGGCCTTAATTTCAGAGCAACCTTGGACAAGTGAACCTCCTGAGTTCAAGAAACGTTTAGATGCTCTATTGGGGGACATGGTTTAGTAGGAAATGTTGGTGATAGGTGCATGGTTGATCTTGGGTGATCTTGGGGGTCTTTTCCAACCTTGGTAATTCTATGATAGGGAGATACATCACTATTAGAAGAAAAAAGAAAAATTCTCTTTATATAAACACATGTGAAGCATATACAGCTCTCACTGTTCTCCAAAAACACAACAAAAATATTTTTCCTCACTTTTATAAAGAGAAGTTCTAACAGTTTTAACAGTTTTCATAGTTATTCATAGTCTTATGGCAGTAAGACCAAAAGACCTGCATTAATTTATTAAGGATTACCACAATAACAGCTGGTGAAAAGCCTTCTTCACCAGAGTATTCTGCAGAGTGCCAGACAAATTTTAAATGGCATAATAGTAATACTCTAACATACTTTCACTATGTATAATGAGAAGAAATGAAAATGTCTCCATAGTAAAATGTGTAAATGCTACTCTTAGCTATCCAGAATTGTTTACAATAGACCTTGTTAAACTTCACAACAACCTCTTGAAATTTTAGAATATGAATAAAACCTCACATTCATCAGCAGAAAAACAATGAAATAGAACAATGATTTTACTCCTTACCACTGTAAGTCCTCCCCAAGCTTCTTTGAGGAATCTTCTGGCAGTACTTTGTACATATCATCTTCTTCAAGTTTCCGTTTGTGGCCAATAATAAATAATGGATTCAGCCACCTATTTAAATACCAATGATTAGTAAACAGATCAGCAGACCAAAAGAATAATTAACTTCCCTATCTGTTACTTCTTTCTTTTAGCCCCGTCTTTCCTCCTCCTCTCAAGCATCACTCAACATCCACATGTTTTACAGAATTTATCTTCACAAACCCTGAAGAAGTAAGTCATCTTCACTTTAGAACAACCAGAAGTTGTTTATGCCCCTCAGAACCTTAGCTCCAGGCATCCAAGATAGCCAATGCAATTTTCAGACTCAAGGCAGTTTTTTCAGTGCTTACTTATACTTATGGAAAACTAGCATTCCTTTAAATATTTATGGAAAAATAGAGCTTAAACCAATTATTATAATATTGACAGAACTGTGCATAAAACTCTACTGTATATTTTTTAAAAACACTTTTGTAATTTGCATGGGTGTTCATTTATATGGGAGAAAAAGTAAATGTTCAAATTCCACATTTACAAATCTTAAATGTCAGTAATTTATAGACAAACACACAAATGTAAAAATGGATAAATAATGTTTTATTACTAGGACACAGGTGGAAGTAGAAACACAAAGCACAATGTCACATTAGAAAGGATACTAAGAAACGAGTAGACTAAAAATTGGGAAACATTTTCTAATAGATCAATTTTCTCAAGTACTCAGATTTTTAAAAGCTCAGTATTTTATGAAAGAGATTGTTACAGTGCTGCTGTCATTTTGTAAGAAAAGGTAACTGATTCTTACGGGTCTGATACACTTTGAGATTCTAGTCTCTGATTCTACGATTTTTTTTCCAATCAAACAGTACTGTAGTAAAACTAGCTTTTATGCACACAGAAACTTCTTCAATCTTGAAAAACAGGTGAAGGAGACCTAAATAGTTTCAGTTGCATCTCACAAAGCAGGCAAAAGCACGAGAAAGCACAACAACATCATCATTCTTGAAGCAGAGTAAAAGAGAACGATACCTATGAAACACACACACTTTAAAAGCAATGGGGAGGCTGTAAAAAATGCATTTTCCACTTTATATACTTTAATCCCTAATATTTGGTTTTGTGGTAGAGTGTGAACTTCAGCTCTCATGCTTGTTCCCTAGAAGAATTTTCTAGGTCGGCCGTCACGAACAGAACAAAGAGGTCAGAGATGGACCCATTTTGGAAAAACAGTTGTTTTTTGTTTGTTTTTTTTTTATCAACTCCTGACAAGATACTTGTCTTTTGTCAACTGCCTGTGAAAGCTCATACATGCTGTTCAGTTTCTTCAGCCTAATTATTCCCTGACTTCAACACAGCGTTTTCTAGAACACCTGGTGCACTAGATGAAGAGTATTCTTTTCTTGAAGGCATGCAGACGAGAATTCAAGACTGCAATCAAGTTGGTTTACAATCCTGGTTTACAATCAGGACAGTTATTACTCACAACCACAACAGTGGTTATGGACACTCATCAACGAGTTGCATTTCTTGCTCAGGCACGCTCCAGTTTAACTTTGTATACACTGGCATATGAGAAGTCGGGTGGTTAGTTTCAGAGAGGGTGGCAAGACGAGTTGAATGCTGGAAGAGGAGGAACACAGTTTCTTCAAGGCAGAACTGTCCCAACAGCCTTTTCACAGGCTCCATGGTAGAACTGTACGTGACAAATGGGATTTACACTTTTCTTTCACTACTTAGCATGTCAGCGCACAATATTTGCCCGATTCATTCAAAGATTAACTCTCTATCCTTAAAGCAGCATCTCTTACGCTCAACAGCCTGTTCTGAAGTCTTGGAGGGAGTACTGAAGATCTGCATCGTATATGAGATGTTAAGTTCTCCACATCCATGTTAAACGTACAATTAGAAATAAAAAAACACATCAACTGTTGCTTAGACTGTACAGCCAACACAGCATCAGGACCCAAATCACTGCCACAGCTTCTCTAAAGAACCAAGATTCTCTGGGCTGCATCAAAAGAAGCATGGTCATCAGGGCGAGGGAGGTGATCCTGTCCATCTACTCTGCACTGGTGAGACCCCACCTGAAGCTCTGCGTCCAGATGTGGAGTCCTCAGTACAGGAGAGACATGGACCTGTGGGAGTGCATCCAAAGAAGGGCCATAAAAATGATCCAAGGGATGGAACATCACCCCTACGAGGACAGGCTGAGAGAGCTGAGGTTGTTCAGCCTGGAGAATAGAAGGCTCCAGGAAGACCTGAGAGGGGCCCTTCAAGGAGGGCTTTAAGAAAGAAGGAGACAGACTCTTTAGCAGGTTCCTGGAGATATTCAAGGTTAGGCTGGATGAGCCTCTGAGCAACCTGATCTAGCCGTAGGTGTTTCTGTTCTATGCTGTGTGGTTGGACTAGTTAACCTTTCAAGGTCCTTTCCAACTTAAACTTATTCTGTGGTTCTCAAAGATCCTTTGCTCCTGCCATGAGAAGAGCTTCTGCACAGTTTGACACAAACATCTCCATCAAATCACCTGAATCTGCGGTTCAACACTGAGCTCTTGCTACTGACTATGGGTATAAAGCAAACACGGGGCAAATAATCTCAAGGTCCATCCACCAATTTCTGCCTGCTGGATGAAAGAGGCTCACTTGGCTCCAGCACAGCCATGGGAAGCATCTGCAGCCTTCAGTCGGCTCCTGTGGTCAGTACCAGGTGTTCCTCCTCTTGCAGCACAGTCTGCAGCGTACCAACAAACCGGCCAAAGGTCTCTTTTCTAACAGAGCAGGATAGACTACAGGTAATCTTCCCTACCTCCTTTAGTGTAAGTATCATGGTCAGGTTGTGCTTTCAGGAAACACAGAAAGTTCAATCCTTCTCACACAGTCCCATTTTTTTTGCTAGCATAAACTACACATAAACACGGGAATGTTTGGAAGAATCCTGAGTACCCTCTGTACTGCAGGGAATGCTTCTGCTCTATCAAGACCATCAGCTGATCAAAGACATCAGTCTGGAGAGAAGCCCAGAATTAGCCCTTGTTATTGCCAGAATATTGATGTCACCAGGAACAAAGATTTAAAAAGAAAAATTAAAAAAAAATAATAAATCACTTGTAAACCTGATGCAATCCCAACAGATATCCAACTGCAAAGCAGTAACTCACTGCTCTGAACCCAAAAAACGTCCCTCCTCTACAGCAGTGCCTTGGGCACTGATAAAAATATAAAATGATTCAGTTCTGAACTGACAAAGACCATAACATAAACACTCACTTCCTGCATTTTCCTACTCCTGGCCCTGACATTACACGCCCTGTAACATTACAACACAGCCAACTAGCCACAGTTTACTTGGTTGTTCAGCAAAGTGCAATTTTTACTTGCCATAATTAATTACCTAGTATTTTGGAGAGATTCCACTGGGTCTGCAGAAAACAATATTAAGAAAAGGTTTTCTTATCAGTATAAGAGAAGCACGACGAGAGAATCAGGGACTCCTATCCAACAGGCAAGGCTGTTATGTAACCAGAATAGTCATGCTACTCTGATACACCACATACAATTTCCTAAATGAGAAAGCTGTTAAATTAGGTTTGCTAGTGTCCCAAAAGATCTCCCCTTCAGTCAAGGAGGAAATATGGCACACAGGCCTAGCTTATCCAGTTCATCAGCCCAGGAAGGGAACTTACTGTACTCTGGATCTGTATGGTGTTCTGCTTGCAAATGCCCTGGGGCTGGTCCATCCCCTCTCCTCACTGGGGCTGTCAATGGGTACTGGGACTGACACCATGCTGGGTCTCACCAGCTGTACCCCAGAGGCTAAGGGCACTGCTGTCTGTCACCCTCAGCTTCTAGATCACAGAACTGTAGGATGGCCTGGTTGAAAAGGACCACAATGGTCATCCAGTTTCAACCCCCCTGCTGTGGGTGGGGCCACCAACCACCAGACCAGGCTGCCCAGAGCCACATCCAGCCTGGCCTTGAATGCCTCCAAGGATGGGGCATCCACAGCCTCCTTGGGCAACCTGTTCCAGTGCTTCACCCCAGAAGCTACACAATCATCTATCACTAAAATCTTAAGACACCTTTCAATGGACAAGCATAAAGTTTGATCATCACCAGTTTCCCAAAAGATCTTACTTCATCACTAAGTCAAAAGACTAGACTAAGTGGACTACTTTTCTGATTAAACAATTCTGTCTAATTACAAATAAAAAAGCAAAACAAGAATAAGTTTAACAATGGCGTAATTTTACAGTGCCCACTAAAAGCCACATCCTGTATGTTTTCATCAGCTAATACCTTAGGGAAGTAATTTACAAGCTACATTTTCACCATTCTTCCTAAGCCTACTTGTACACTACATTACAAGCATCACTGTTTATACTCTATGTCCAGTTATTTTTCCAAAGTTGCACAGGAGAGTCATTGTTTACTCAAATTCTTCCACAACACAAGAATCTAGGATTTCACCTCCTGAGCAGCTTGAAAGCACTACTCCAATCACTAAGCTGCAAAGGAACATGCATTTCTTGCTCTTTAGTCACCCAATTTGAAGCTGATTTTCCGTAAAACAAATTAGGTTTCCTCATAGGACCTTTTGATAGCAAATCCACAGTGCTTATCCTCCACAGCTTACACCAGGTATCTATGTGCTCTTTTTTTGTACTGTTCTTTAACCAACTTCACAGAATCAACAGGATGGCTTAGGTTGGGAGGGACCTTCGAGATCATCCAGGCCAATCCCATGCCTTGGGCAGGACTGCCACCCACCAGCAGCTCAGGCTGCCCAGGGCCTCATTCAACTTGGCCTTGAGCACCTCCGGGGATGGGGCACCCACAGCTTCTCTGGACAGCCTCTGCCAGTGCCTCACCGCCCTCTGAATAAAGAATTTCATCCCAACGTGCAATCTAAATATCTCTTCTTTTAGTTTAAAGCCATTCCCTTTGTTCTATCACTACTTACCCATGTACAACGTTGGTACTCCTCCTTAAGCCCCCTTAAAGTACTGGGAGGCTGCAATAAAGTCTCCCTGGAGCCTTCTGCAAGCTGAACAAGCACAGCTCCCTCAACC